TGTCAAAAAAAAAATCAGCTCATAAAAACCACACTGATAATATTTACACAAGAATATACTGGAATAAATATTGGAAGCCCATTTTCCCCACAATAAGGGGTTAAATAATGCTTTAGTAAATCGTAATTATGACATACTAAGTCAAAATTATGATTCTGTCAAAATTATGAGATAAAAAGGTGACATTTTTATGTAGCAAGTCATAATTATGACATACTTAGTCGAAGTTATGGCACTGTAGAAATTATGAGATAAAAGATTAAAATTATGATCTAGAAAGTCATAATTATGACATACTTAGTCGAAGTTATGGCACTGTAGAAATTATGAGATAAAAGATTAAAATTATGATCTAGAAAGTCATAATTATGACATACTTAGTCGAAGTTATGGCACTGTAGAAATTATGAGATAAAAGATTAAAATTATGATCTAGAAAGTCATAATTATGACATACTTAGTCGAAGTTATGGCACTGTAGAAATTATGAGATAAAAGATTAAAATTATGATCTAGAAAGTCATAATTATGACATACTTAGTCGAAGTTATGGCACTGTAGAAATTATGAGATAAAATATTAAAATTATGATCTAGAAAGTCATAATTATGACATACTTAGTCGAAGTTATGGCACTGTAGAAATTATGAGATAAAAGATTAAAATTATTATCTAGAAACTAAAGTCATAATTATGACATACTTAGTCAAAGTTATTGGACTGTAGAAATTATGATAAAATATTAAAATTATGATCTAGAAAGTCATAATTATGACATACTAAGTCAAAGTTATTGCACTGTAGAAATTATGAGATAAAATATTAAAATTATGATCTAGAAAGTCATAATTATGACATACTTAGTTGAAGTTATGGCACTGTAGAAATTATGAGATAAAAGATTAAAATTATTATCTAGAAACTAAAGTCATAATTATGACATACTTAGTCAAAGTTATTGGACTGTAGAAATTATGAGATAAAATATTAAAATTATGATCTAGAAAGTCATAATTATGACATACTTAGTCGAAGTTATTGCACTGTAGAAATTATGATAAAATATTAAAATTATGATCTAGAAAGTCATAATTATGACATACTTAGTTGAAGTTATGGCACTGTTGAAATTATGAGATAAAAGATTAAAATTAGTCATAATGTTGAAGTTATGGCACTGTTGAAATTATGAGATAAAAGATTAAAATTAGTCATAATTATGACCTACTAAGTGATAAGACATGCTAATTAGACAAGCTAATTATCTCATAATCTTGACCTTCAAACTTAGTATGTCAATTTCGATTTATGTCAATCTCATGTTTTCAACTTTGTATCAGAATTATGAATATAATAATTTTGACTTTTTATCTCATAGTCGGAATTAAGTTACTAAAACATGATTTGTGTTTCCTTGTGAGTCAGAAATGGGCTTCCATTGAAAACATTTTTTTTTTTTTTTGTAAAGCATGTCACACCACTCTCACCATTTGGCATTTGACCTACAGTATAACTACCCATAAACAACCCATAAACAACAACTACAAACATGACAATTAGTAATTTGTTCCGTTCCTGGGTAATGCTCACAGCGCGACCTACATCACTTCCTGTGCTCCTACAGTGCTGTAGAAATGCTTAGAATTGTACATTTTCTTAAGACAGTGTGAAAACTAACAGTCTGGAGTGGTTTTAAGCATGTGGTTTCCAGCTGGTCTGTAGATATGGCTGTGTGTGCGTGTGTGTGTGTGTGTGTGTGTGGTTTACAGTGATGTACCTGCTGGAGGAGGCATCGATGAGACGGTGTACGCCGCAGTCTTTCTCAGCACTGAAGTCCTGTCTCTCAGCAAACTCCTGTCCGTATCGTCACATCCAACGTCTCCTGACCACACACACACACACACACAACACAACTTCTTCAAAAACAATGTTTTTTGCAGTAAATCTTTTCTTTTTTATTCATAATAAATCACCTGAATGAGAACGCAAACTGAAAGCGACATCTGAAGGGTCTCAGTATTTGTGCATTTAGTGAAGATCGCTGCTTCCTCTATTGTGCACTCGAACACACACATCCTCTTGGACACAATCGGGCAATTATAGGCTCATAAAAACACTTCATGGGTGTGCATTTTAAAATATAACCTAAACCTGCTGCGACTGCAGTGTTTTTATGGTGGTTACACACATCTAGATCATTGTTAAATGAGGATTTATTTGTGTGTGTTTTGGGGTGGGGGGGAAATTATCACAAGTATTTGTTAAGATATTTGTCAGCCAAAATAATGGTTTATTATTTAATTGTCATAAATAGTTCTGTTTTAATCAAATACATGTATACTGTGAAAGATGATGTTTTGTTTTAGGTATAGCATTAATATTATAGTATTTATTAATAAGCTTTTATTTATATACTTAACATTTTTCACTTTAATTTTAGTTTAAGTATTGATTAAATTTAGTCGATTTTGTCAGTTTTAAATATTACAGGTATTTATTAATATTTTTGAATTAGCATTTAATTATATATTTTTATTTTAAGTTTAATTCAATTTTGTTATGTGCTTTTTTGTAATTTTCAGAGTTTTTTAATATTAATTTATTAATATTTTGAATTTTCATTTAATTATATATTTATTTTTAATTACATTTTGTTGTGTCATTTTTTTTTTAATTGTATTAGTTTTAAAATATTTATACTTATTTTTTTATTAACTAAGTTTAAGTTGAAATTTTCACCTGATATTTACATTTTATTTCAATTCAAAAAAAAAAAAAAAAAAAGATTTTTAAGTTTTATTTAACAATAACATAACTCACATACAGTGTGACAACATGCCCCGCTACAAGTGTGCATTAAATCAGCTGTAGTGTTTTTCCAGTAAAATAATCTTAGAAAAGTTTAATTGTTTTTATATCATAGAGAAAAACTTTGAAAACTTCTCTGAGTCTTCTGAAAATATCTATACGGTCTTTATTTGCTCTTTTATCATTACCAGTATCTTCCATTTTGCCTCAGTAAATAAAAAACAGCTTATAATGGCGAAACAAAGGCACGTTTGACTGTTTTGAGGAGCTTCCTCAGTCGAGTTTCTCACTTCCTCACGCTCTGAATCCACGACAAAGGTCTCTCACTTTGACACTTTTCATGACAGACCTTCGTAAAGAGAAGTCCTCTCCACAAGCTCTCAGTGTCATGGAATCAAAAGACAAACCCAAAAACACTCACAGCTTGCATATATATATAATTTTAACAGAGATGTCCATATTTAATAGCATTTTAGCGCTGAGAAAAACCAGAAAAATGTCTATAATTGTCATGACTGATTTTTCTCAGCTCTGTAAATACCAGTTTTAAAAAGGCCTTATGTTTTGGGGATTTGCACAAGTGTGGGAATCCTGTGTTATGTTATTGTCAGCAAATTTGTTTCAAATCATTAATAAATAGATTTGTGACCTAATAAATAGGTCATTAATAAACAGCGACACCCATCACATTTTAAAAGCAGGTAAAAACAAAACATAAAAAACTTTGCAGATGAAATTCATGAAGCGAAATTAAGCATAGATGATAAAATGCATCGAGACACAAACAAATAAAAATGCGCACACACACTGACCTGATCTCCGGTCACACACTGCACTCCTAAATCAAGCGCGTTCACATGTGCCTCGGATCACTGCAGATCCTCTCTATCAGCTCACTGCATTTCCCTTTTTTTTCTACATGAATGCATGTGTGTGACATTTATTTAGCAAGAAACTGCTGACATTCAGAGTCCATCAAGCCTCGTCCAATTAGTTTGACAAAGATTACTATGTTGTTGTTTATTTGACGTAGACACATATTAACGTTGTAATTTCACAGATACTTGATGTATTCCTTACTAGAACAAACAACATTAGAGATGATAAAATATGTATATGATTTACCATTTCAATTATCATTTGAAATTGCATGCTTTTTATGGGATAATGGGTCAAGTAATAAAGCCAGTCTTCTCAGCAGTTTATTTGCTTGCAGAAAAATTATAATATGTGTATTAAAAAAAGTGTTTTACTGTCCTCTTCTGGCAGAACGCTGTATCAAGATTGTCAAATATGATGAAAAGAACTTGTAATCTGGATTTTTATGACACAATTGAGAAAAATGGTCACATTAAAAGCATAATTCTGAGTAACTAACTCCACCAGACAGAAACAAAAAGCCTTAGTGAACTTAAGATTAAATCTTCATGTGCTGAATCTGCATTGAAAACTAGAAAATTATATTCATGCACCTTTCAGTCAATGAACTTCTACGAGCCCTTCATTTCTGGATCAGAAATGAAATAAATGTGTGTATAATATTATACACATAATATAGGCCATAAAATATAACTATTTATGTATATAAATGTAAAATAAATACATAAAATTAGCACAATGAATAGCCTACTACAAAATATTACACGTGTAAAAATAGCGAGATTGTCAAACATGTCAACTTTACCGTCACTCCCAATTTTTTTTGTAATTTGATGCAAAGGTAATAGGATAATACGAAGTATAGTGTTATAAATGTTCATTCATTAATTTTTTTTTTAAATATATAAAACTTGTGTCATCACAGTGCTCAACATCTTCGTAGAGTCTGAGGAGAAAGGGGCGGTGCAAACAACTCACCAATATTTTGAATTTGTACTGCATTACCCACTTCAACCGCTAGCTGTCAATAATATTACATACTGCACCTTTAATAAACAGCAGAGAAGGCCTGACGATCTTTGATTCGTCGTCACAGACAACACAAACACTCACGATGCTAATTTCGAAGGAAATGCCAAACTGCAGACCATGTGAATCCACAAACCTGATACAATCGACAGTAAAGACGTCTCACCAGGAACTGATCCTCGCCTGAGCTCCATCTCGACATTGTGTCCTGATCTTCTCTTAAATGCATGGCGTCTGAACTCCTCCACATCATACGCGCTCCTCTTCACCTTCTCAAACATCCC